GGATTATAGGCATGAGCCACTGTGCTCAGCCATCGAATTTTATCTAACAGAAATGGGCACCACAATCTATTTGCTCAAACTATGAAGGCATTCACCATGTCATTAATAGCTGTATTTATCTCCTTCTTGTTCCCTTACTAGTAAGCTCTTAGAACAGGTCCGTATCTAAAACATAGGCACTGAATAACTGGCTGCTGAATTAATCAGTGAACAAAGGTTTATGTGATGTTGCCTTCATTCTCAATTACATTTCAGCCTAAATCTGGAAGAGCAGATGCAAATCAGGACAGATCTGCAATGTTTTTACACACATATATAATGTGCTTGCTAGGAATCCATTTTTAGCCTGAGAGGACTGGCCATAAAAAATTATATGTAATTGATGCTCAAAATAGCCTAATAAATTATATAGGATATACAAACACCCAAAATTAAATATGTAAAATGAGAAAAATCCTAGTGGTTTTAATTTGCGGGAGCAGGTGGGAAAAAAGGTGTTTCTGTAAGTTAGAAAGAGAATTATACTGTACTAAAAAAAAGAAAAGGAATGGCACAGGCTTCTGGTTAATAAGGAAACATTAGACAGAGGAGGAGCCTTCTAAGGAACATTTTGGAAGTCAGAGTTTTTGAGATGAGGTGCAAGAAACTCCAGGGACATTTGGTCTTAAGACATATGCGATTAGTAGGGTTTCTGTTCTGATCTTTTTTCTTTTCTTTTTTTCTTTTGAGATGGAGTCTCATTCTGTCACACAGCCTGGAGTGCAGTGGCGTGCAATCTCTCGGCTCACTGCAATCTCTCAGCTCACTGCAATCTCTGCCTCCTGGGTTCAAGCGATTCTCCTGCCTCAGCCTCCCGAGTAGCTGTGGCTACAGGCACACGCCAACACGCCCGGCTAATTTTTGTATTTTTAGTAGAGACGGTGTTTCGCCATGTTGGCCGGGCTGGCCTCGAACTCTGGACCTCAGGTGATCCGCCCACCTTGGCCTCCCAAAGTGCTGGGATTACAAGCGGGAGCCATCGCAACCGGCTCTGTTCTGATCATTTTTTCAAGTAGTCGAGGAAGACAATTAAATTGAATTACACTTAGGCTAACGTTGCTGGTCTATTTCTTAAGTCAAAAATAGTATGCCGCAATAAGATTTCTATGATTCCGGTGTAACAACTCTTAACCTTTTCTCCAGCAACAGACACGAGTCTTAAATGTAGAAAAAAATGGCGTTCTCCTAGAGGATTTTTCTCACAACTAGCACTTTTCGAGAACAAATGTTAGAGCTTAACTGCTGTGCCCGCCCTCCCTGTTTGTGTTCCTCGGCTTTGGGCCCAGCTGGAGACCCCGGGTGCTCCAGGGTCGCCCGGCGGGTCCCAACCCTCACCTGCATGATGGGTTGCTCTGCCCTTCACGAGCCCGCGTCGTCGCGTAGCTGGCGAGGCGCCACGGACTGAGCTCAGCGGACTCCTCCAGGCAGGAAGGGCGCCCGCTTCAGGCCGGGCGGTTTCCAGCTCCCGCCGGAGGAGAGAGAGGCGAACAAGGGCTTGTTACGCATGTGCGGGAGGGGCAGCTTGGTTGCCAGGCAATGCAGAGGCCTAACACAGGGGATGGTTGTGGGTACTTGACGTGCGGGGTCCTGGGGCATCTATCCCCAGCACTGCCTTTCCTGTTTGCTGTGTGGTGTTGGTCCTGACATTCCTGTCAACTGTTCCCTCCACCACCTCCATTGAATCAACCGAATGTTTCAGAGCCTCTTGCACCCTTGAAACCCTGAGACCTGCCTTCACGGAGAAATAACAAACCCTGGGGTGGAGAATCCTTCAGAGGAGGTGTTCTAAACCCGGGATCCACAGACTATTTATTGTTTGTTTTTGAGACAGGATCTTGCTCTGTCACACAGGCTGGAGTGAAGTGGTGGAAACACTGCTCACAGCAGCTCAACCTCCATGGATCAAGCAATCCTCCTATCTCAGCCTCCCAAGTAGTTGGGACCAGAGATGCATGTGCCACCACATCCAGTTAATTTTTTTTAAATTTTTTGGAGAGACGTGGGTTTCACATGTTGCCTAGACTGGTTTTGAACTCCTGGGCTCAAGTGATCCTCCCACCTCAGGCTTCCAGAGTGCTGGGATTACAGGAATGAGCCACCACTTAGCCCATACACTATATATTTGGATATGTTTTAGGAAATAGCTTGCCCCCAGCCCCCAAGTGTACACATAATTTTGTTGTATGTGTACATTTTTTCTGAAATTAAGAGCCATAACTTTCATTAGATGCTTAAATGGGACTGTAGGCTCCCCAACTTTATCTTAAAAATCTACCGCCTTAAGTGACAGCAGCTCTGGCTTTAGGCCAGGCACAGTGGCCCATGCCTGCAATCCCAGCTCTTTGGGAGGCTGAGGCAGGCAGATCACTTGAGCTCAGGAGTTCAAGACCAGCCTGGCCAACATGGTGAAACCCCATCTCTACTAAAAATACAAAAACTAACCAGACGTGGTGGTGGGTGCCTGTAATCCCAGCTACTCAAGAGGCTGAGGCAGGAGAATCACTTGAACCGAGGAGGTGGAGGTTGCAGTGAGCTGAGATCGTGCCCCTGCACTCCAGCCTATGAGACAGAGTGAGACTCTGCCTAAATTGGAAGAAAAAGAAAAGCTCTGGCTTTAGGTAGGATATCTAGACAGGTGAGTTCAAGGATGTTTACTGGGAGCTGCCAGGAACTTAAGGAAAGTACCTGGTGTTTTATACACATTGTTTTACACAGTTCCAGAGATATACTCACAGGATTTGGAAAATTTTAAAAAAATGCTTTTAATGACATAACTTTAAACTTGGATTCAGCATGGGACCAGTCCATCTGTAGTGCCTAGCTAATACTTAATACAAATCCTACACTCCTAGTAGCCCACATATGCTGTTATGTTTGTGTCTGAGACATGAATTAGTTAAGTATAAATAATTAAAAACATATCGTGATTTTTGTAATCATGTCTTGATATTTGTCTCCTCTTCTTCCTCCTCCTCTTTCTTCTTCTTCTTCATCCTAGGAACCCTAAAAATGTTGCCTATTTCTCTCTGGATTTCTGAGAGGCCCTGGGAGCTGCTGATTAAATTAATATTCTTTTCTTACTTTGACAGTCCAAAGTCCAGGCTAATTGAAGTACTGTGCACAGAACTAGCTAATGCTTCCCCATGCATTTGTGGCTTTAGGGCAGCATGCTCTCCTTGCTCTCAAGTCCCCACCTTATCAGGGCAATTTATTTTTCTAAAAATTTTTTTCTCTTCTGCTTCTTCTTATGTTCTTCACTCAGGTTGACAAGAAGTAAAATTCAGACACTTTGTTAGGAAAAGCTGTAACTTAAGCTATAATTGGTCAACATTAGGAAAACAAAGATTTGTTAGATACTCTGCTCTGAAGAATGTATGTATAGACCTAATCCTACCTACTCAAAAGAGCCACTCCTCTGTAATCAGCCAGCAACCTTCTTAATGGGGGAGGTGGCAATCTAAGGCAGAGGTCAGAAGGACAAAAAAGAGGAACCTGAGAGGGGATAAATTCAACCTCCATCTGAAGTTAATTCTGTGCCCGCTAAACATTGATTTGATGTTAAAAGTTCCCAATATGTGTTCATGATCCTTACTAATAAAATATTAGTAAGATTATTTTCCTTCTGCTAATGGACAAGACTAATTGTCTTTCAGATGTTGCTGGGTGAAGTAACTTATTTTAGGATAAATTGAATACTATGAGTTGCTTGAGAAAGTTAGTCTTCTGATATATTTGTAGCAATCAGAAATCCATTATAGTTTATAAATCAGAACTTGCTTATAGGACTATTGGATGGGTTATGGCCCAATCCTCCAACTAGTATAGTTTCAGTTGGTGCTCACATTCTAAGATTGGTAGCTACTGGGCATTCCCGTATTCTGGTGGTTTTGTCACTGACAAAATCCAAATACAATAAACTAAAACAGCTCATTAAAACTCAACTCTCTCTGAGTGCCTTTCATGAAAATATCAAAAAAGCATGTGTACCAGTACTGTCAAACCCAGCAGGGACCTAAGGAACAGCATTATATACAGGTTTATCACACAGTATTTCTCATTAAAACACTAAGCAAAAATATTTTAACACTTTTTATTTTCAACAAATTAAACATTTATAACATTGTTACAACTGAGAACACACTGGCAACACAGGGATTTTCAACAGAGTAAACTTAGCAAGGATTGTTTTGCAGAAGAAATCAAAATGTCAGTACATTTTGTATTCCATAGCATTGCTCTGTGGGAAATTAGCTGGCATCCTGTAAAAAAGAAAAATGGAATTAGATTTTAGTGTAAATGACCACATGATTGTGTGCATATAATGTTTGTATATAGACATGTCTATAAATATTTTGTCATAGAGTGATAACATTAGCATGAGATATTTCCCAGCTGTTCTTCTGTGTGTGTGTGTGCATGTGTGTATATATATATACACACACACACAGGAGGAACATATATATATATATATATATATATATATATATATATATTTATTTTATTTTATTTTATTTTTTTGAGACAGAGTCTTGCTCTGTTGCCCAGGTTGGAGTGCAGTGGCATGATCTCGGCTCACCACAGCCTCCACTTCCCTGATTCAAGCAATTCTCCTGCCTCATCCTCCCAAATAGCTGGGATTACAGGAGTGCAACACCATGCCTGGCTGATTTTTGTATTTTTTTTAGTAGAGACAGGGTTTCACCATGTTGGTCAGGCCGATCTTGAACTCCTGACTTCTAGTGATGTGCCACCTTGGCCTCCCAAAGTACTGGGATTGCCAGCATGAGCCACTGCACCCAGCCTGTCTGTTTACATATAATTTAATGTATCTCTAATGAAACACTCATTCTGTATGTCTGTGTCTTCCAAAAATTTACAGTATTTAACTATATAAAAGTGGTTTCCTAAAGCTCATTAATGCCAATAAGATCTATGAATAAGCTATTTCAAAAGCTGCATTTACTCCTTGTGTATCTATTTCCTCATATTTTTGCAACTAAATCATCATCCTATTTTATGCTTAACCACTTTCTAAATAAATATAGGCCATCAGGATAGAGAAAGGCCTTAGAAAATCAGATGACAAAAACAAAGAAAAAATGATAATTATATTTTTCTATTGGCAAAATAAAATGAAATCATGAGTACATTAGTTTATGTACACCCTAATCTTGCAAATAATCTGAATAAAGCAATTCTTCTCAATTTTGGAGGTTTTCTTTTACTAAATTCATCAAATCATGGACTTAATTCCATTTCACATTAACACTCTAATGCTTGCTTTAATGTTACAATCACAGGTATTTTTTCCCATTAAGTATTAAGCTATTTTTAAAATTTTGTAAATGCCAATGTATATTTATACTATTATAAAAGATAAAATAGTTTCTTTTCCATTAACTTTGTTCTTTGTTCTTTGAAAAAATGCAAAATTAAGAGTACGTTTTCTCATATTCCTCATGTGAACATGATTTATCAGGCATCTTCTGAAGCAGGAGTTAATAAGAAACACAGTTTGCAAATTCAAGTTCCTAATTATGTCCCATGAGCACATTAAATTTTTCTTTCACTTTTCCACTATTTGAATCCTTTATTCTTTCTTATCTAATTGAATTGGCTAACACATTAAGAACTACATTAAATAAGAAATGAGAGGGTATCTTTATCTTGTTCCTGACGTTAACAGAAATGCTACAAAGTGTTTCACTAACAAGCCAGCTACTGTACTAACCTGGTTTGAGACTGTTACATAAATAATGTCAAGAAAAGATTAATCTTTTCCTATAGGATCTTCTTTTAATAGAACAAAAATTGATGTGAAATTTTACCAAAAGCATCTATTGAAATGATCAGATAATTTTTCTTCTAATAGTGAAAATTTTTAACACATTTCTTAACATCGAACCATCCTTGAGCTGCTGGAACAAATCTTACTTAGTGGGGTCATAAAATTATTTAAGTATACTGATAAATACTATTTAATAATATTCCTTTAAAATTTTTACATTAATATTTATAAACACAACTGACTTATAGTTTCATTTTTTATACTATTTTTTAAGTTTTGGTATTAATATTATGCTGGCTTCATAAAAATATTTGGTGATTTTTCTTCTTTCTCTGAGCTGAAAAAATTCAAAATTATTGGCTTAGTAATTTTTGAGGTTACAGTTTCTAGATAACATTTTCCATTTTCCCCCCATAGCTATTACTCTGTTTGGTGTTTTTCTTTCTTCTGAGGTCAATTTTGGTAGCACCTACTTTATTAGACAATCCTCCATTTTATCCAGGTTTCCAAACTGTTATGTACAGAGATGTGCAAAGTACTCTTTTGTGTTTTTGATTTCTTCTCTGTTTTAATTTCTCTTTTCATTTGTACTTTTCTATATTTATGATTTTACCATTTTTCTTGATTACACTAGGCTAATTTATTTTTTGTAAAAAATTACTAATAGATGTTTTCTTTGTTTATTGTCCTATTACTATTTCTTAACATCAATTTCTTCTTTCATTTCTGTGACTTTCTTCCTTTTGCCTTCTTGAAGTTCACTTTGTTATTGTTTTGGTTTGGTTTTTTTGAGATAAGTTCTTGCTCTGTGGCCTAGGCTGGAGTGCAGAGGAAAGATCATAGCTCACAGCCTCAAACTCCCAGGCTCAAGCGATCCTCCCATGTCAGCCTCTGAAGTAGCTAGTACTACAGGCATGCACCACCACACCTGGCTAATTTTTTTCTTAAATTTATGTAGCAATGAGGTCCCAAAATCCTGTGCTCACGTGATCTTCATGTCCGAGCCTCCCAAAGGGGATTACAGGCATGAGCCACTGTGCCCAGTCTAAAATGAATGATATTTTAAAAAAAAATATGTTCAGCATAGAAACTAGATTTAGGATTACAAAAGGTTATTAGAATACACTTTGTTTCTGTGTTATAAATTTGTCAATCTGCATTCAAGTTTGACTTCAACACTTAATTGTCTAATGCAATACTGGGATTAACATATTTATAAACATGTGGGAATAGTCAACAGCTACTAAATTTCTATTGTATGTCCAGCACTGAGGTAGAAATTCTGGCAGTACAAAAGAAGAAGTCATTCTCTCATGTCTTTCCACATTTAAAAAAACTCTCTAGAAACTGGTGAATCACCAGCTTTTCTAAAGAATCTTTGAGTGTCAGTTATTTAGATGACAGAAGTACATTTGGTCTATAAATCTTGGCCCATTGTGGTTAACACTGATTACTATGATAAGAATTCATTCCTTGACATATCTTACTTGCACAATAAATGATGATAAGATCAATGTCTACAAAATTACTTACGATGATTGCTATTGCGACATAGTCTAAGAAATAAATGACATGGGCAAAGCAAATGAGGTCCTAAAATACTGGTATTTTCTTATTACAATAAAGCCCTTACAGCTCCTATCATTGTGGTATTTACATCGAATATTCATGTGCATATGCAATCAAATAATAGAAATATATTTAGCATAGTTTAATTTGTGACTATTTGAAAACAACAGAAAATTTCAAACTGGGTTGAACTGTGAAATGCATACCATTTATTTATTTATTTATTTATCTATCTATCACATACCATTTTAAATGAAACTTGCTGACCTTCTTCCATTTCGTGGCTGAAAAATAATAGATTAGAAATAAATCAGCATAACTAAACATGGAAGCTAATATTCATAGAAACAGCACTGATAATTTAGAGGAGTGTTTAATGTGCATCAGAATAATCTACAGGGCTTTCATCACATATACTGCTGGACCCCATAACCACAGTTTCTGATTTAGTAAGCCTGAGAACCCTAAAATTTGTATTTCTAACACGTTCTGAGGTGCTGCTAATGCTGCAAAAACCACCATGAACTAAATGCTATTTGACTTTGTTTATTTCCTTGATGGTACCAACATTTGAAAACAAGTGTTCTCAATTTTCATTTGATATGAACTTACTGAAGTCAGGGCTGTTTAGTTGCTTACTCCCTCCTGCTATCAGTCCAATTCCTTCATTCAGTCCATTCTCTAATTTGCTGTTAGAATTATTTTCCAAAAGGCAAATCTTACCCCATCTGCCCCCTCCTTAGCATTTAAAGTTGAAATTTCTTAGCTAAATATTTCATCAACCAACTCCCATTGATTCTTTAGGATTCAGCCAATGAAGTCTTCTCTGTACCTCTTCCATTTTCCAGCTGGAGTAAAATGCTTTTCTCTTGGAAACCACAGCCCTTGGATCAAAAGTGCATTTCACACACTACATTCTATTTGTTTACTTATCTGTTTTCTCCTAGAGCTATCTAAACTACTAGAGCATAGGAATGGAATTCTACCTGTTTTTATAGTCCCAGCCCTTGGTACATTGCTCGGCACCCAGTAGAAGTTCAATAAATAGTTGTTTAAATAATTAATTACAACTTTATGGTAATGTATTAAGGATCCAAACATGTTACAAAGTGTAGCTGCCTAAAAAAAACTCACGTTTTATAGACAATGTGGACAAACAAAATCAGAAATGTAATCCTGGAATTCTGTCTACTTATACCTTTTATTGTAGTTGAGTATTTTAATTTTAAGAATTTGTGAAAATGGTCATAACTCTTCCAATCTACTGAGTTAAAAATTGTGTAAATAATTCCACAGAACATAAGGAATAGTGTATCTTTAAGACACTTATTTTCTATACATCAAATGACAGGGAATTAAACTGTCTAATAGGTGAATGTTATTTGAGATGTTTAAACATGAGCAATAGATCAAAGACGAGATCAGAGATACTGTGGTATTGAAGCAATAAGGTGGTGACAGCAGTGAATGTCAGACTGTAACACCTGATGCCAAATAACTATAAACTTTAAAATTTAATTGAAACGTACAAGTTAATTAAATACACAGTGAAAGTGTTTTTCAATTTTGATGCAGATTAAAAAAAAATACAGTATGTACCTACCCTGAATAAAAAATATCCTCGACTTTGACTTGCAAAGGGACTTTGAAATTCTTCCTAGAAGAGAAAACGAAGTCATTACAAATCAACTAACACTGAAAATAAGGGCAAATTCTCCTCAAAAGTACCTTAAGGGTCAAAATTACTTTCAACTATCATAGCTAAACATAGAAGGAATCAGGGACTTGAACACAGAATTTTTGTATTATACCTGAAAATTTTCAACAATTAGCAGTATCATCGGAAATTTATATCTAAAAATAATTTCCTTATCAGTGTGACAGATTCTCCTTTCAGGAATTTTGTCAGTTGTATGTGTATTCATCAATAAGTAGAAAGAGAAATGACAGACACTTCATAATTGACTATATTTAAAATCTCCTTTCAGCATTTTGTTAGAATGAAATAATTTCTTTAAAATACATATTGGATGTGTTAACACATGAACAGGGAAAAATATAAAACAGAATTGTGTCAAAGCCAAAAAATATTATACAATATTTCTGCAGAAATGTAGTTTGAAATTGAGGGACAATTTTGGTAAGCTATGTTTATTCAATGAAGCTTTAGGCGAGATGTTCCTGATATAATTATATGTGCAGAATGTTAATTTTTAAATTTCCAACTATTAATAGGAATGACCCAATTACTCATAGTAAGTATATATTTTTCTCAAACATTTCATTTTAAACTTCCTGAAAAAATATGTTAACATTTTATGGTTTCCATAAAATTGGCTTATAGCTTCCTATTTTCATTAATAATGAACTATATTATAAAAGCATTATCAGCATGGCTATCACCATGAAATCTTTCAGCCAAGACCTTTTTCAACTATTCTATAATATGAATACCATCATATTAAATTATAAGAAATGGCTCTGCTATATGTTTAAATTCTGAGATACCTAGTTTGCAACAAATATATCTTAAATTCTCAATATTTGTATTTAATTTTCATCTTTACTATAACTCCCCAAATTACTTAAGATTGAAAAAAATCTATATTTAAAACTGTACACATTGTATCATGTATCAAAATATCACATGTACCCCCAAAATATGTATAACTATAATATACCAATGAAAAACAAAAAATAAAGTTTTTTAAGTTTTCAAAATTTAAAAAGATGTACACATATAACCATATGCTTATAGACCTATATAAGCAGTGTTCTCAGCTGAGCACAGTGGCTCATGCCTGTAATCTGAGCACTTTAGGAGGCTGAGGTGGGAGGATCATTTGAGTTTAGGAATTTGAGACCAGCCTGGCCAACATAGAGAGACCTAGTCTCTACAAATAATAAAAAAATTTAGCCAGGTGTGATGGCACACACCTATGGACTCAGCTCCTCAGGAGGCTGAGGTGGGAGGATTGCCTGAGTCCAGGAGGTCAAGGTTGCAGTGAGTCATGATCATCTCACTGCACTCCAGCCCAGGGGACAGAGAAAAACCCTATCTCAAAAAAAAAAAAAAAAGTTAATGCATATTATATTAAAGAGAAAAAACTAAAAGGCAGGACAAAATGTAAATTTAAATGCATCAAATATTTAAAACTTTCAAATGCAAAACCCAACATACAGATCTTTTTAGAGTCTTATCACTAAACATAGAGCAGTATATAAAATAATTTGGGAGATAGAGATAAACAAAAGATGTGGGAATGAAAGTGGAAGATGTCTAGCAAACAAAACTTAAGTGTTTTAAGATCTAAAACCTCATTTTCTTCAAGACTTCAAAATATTTCACTATGAGAAATACATTTTAAAATTGATGACTTAGGCCCAGCAAAACGAACACTCTCCTGTAATTGCATTTCTATTCATCTCTTACATTCTTTTCTTTCATAGGTTTCTAGGAAACTTGACTGGCTGCAAAATACCCTTAAGATTTATCATTTGTCTGAAAATATACATGGTATCACCGAAGGTGGAAAATTCAGTCAACGTACTAAACTGGACACAATACTGAGTGTGGTTAGCTTTGGTTTTGTAAATCGTGGCACTGAAATTATGTAGTCACACTAATGATTGTTGGTGTCTTTTAAGAAACGGAAGCTTTAAGTGGAAATTCTTTACTTATTCATAACTCAAGCAAACACTGTTAGAAGTAAAAGTTAAATGAAAAAAGCATATATTACTTCTAGAGAGTTTGATGACGACTGCTTTTTTTTTCATTCACAAATTCTAAAATTTTAAGGGGCTGTTTCCTATGATCTAACATTTCTCTTTACAGTTGGCATCGGATATTGTCATCTTTGATGGAAGTTTCATTTAAGAATGTGAAGATTCTAGGGAAGAAATACTGGCCATAAAAATACATTTTGAGGCATCTATTCACCTAAACTCTATGCATTTTAAAAAGTACCTGAAAAGTTTGGGTAGCATTTTAAGAATAAATTAAATACGGTATTGAAATTAAGGAAAATTTTGATCTGAATTCAACTTTTTTTTTTTTTTTTTTTTGAGACGGAGTCTTGCTCTGTTGCCCAGGCTGGAGTGTAGTGGCATGATCTCGGCTCACAGCAATTTCTGTCTCCCTGGTTCAAATGATTCTCCTTCCTCAACCTCCTGAGTATCTGAGATTACGGGTGCTACCATCACCCCCAGCTAATTTTTTTTTTTTTTTTTAGTATTTTAGTAGAGACAGGGTTTCATCATGCTGGACAGGCTGGTCTCAAACTCCTGACCTCAGATGATCCGCCCACCTTGGCCTCCCAAACTGCTGGATTACAGGTGTGAACCACCATGCCCCGCCTGAATTCAACTTTTAGTAATAAAATACATAGCTCAAAAATAACATAATAAAAATATCCAAGATTAAACTATAAAGGGAGCAGCATAGTGAAAAAAAATTGCCAAGATCAGAAGTCAGAAGACTATGTTGTACTTTCTCTTACTAATATGATCTTGGGAAACTCCTTCAACTATTCTAGCTTGCTTTTCCTTTTGTAAATGGAAAATAACATTACTCGTATAAGTGCTAACAGAGTTCCCCAAAGAATAAAATGAGATAATATAAGGCTGAAAATCATAATGTATTACAGCAAGGGAAGGCATTACTTAAAAATAATCCTAGAAATTCTCAGTGTTACAAGAGTTAGGATTCTTGTTAAATGACTATAAAAACTCCACAGTGTAACACAGTAAGAATGTGTTAATGCAGTTACATTCATTTTACACACAGATACTGGATTTAGGTCACATTTTTTGTTCTTCGTGGAAAAAACAAGGTAATACATTTAGTTTCTGGTATTTACTTCGTGAACCTTATTCTTACTGACTTTTTTCTATTGTTTTTGAGACAGTCTCGCTTTGTCACCCAGGTTGGAGTGCAGTGCAACCTCTCCCTTCTGGGTTCAAGTGATTCTTGTGCCTCAGCTTCCCGAATAGCTGGGATTACAAGCATCCGTCAATAACTCCCGGCTAATTTTTTTTTTTTTTTGTATTTTAGTGGAGAGGGGGTTTCACCATGTTGCCAAGGCTGGTCTTGAACTCCTGGCCTCAAGGGATCCACCCACCTGGGCCTCCCAAAGTCCTGGATTACAGGCATGAGCCACCAGGCCTGGCCTACTCTTACCAACATTTAAATACTTGAGCAGAAAGCTTGCCATCCTAGCTATTTGCCAAACTGGATACAGAGGGGCAATACATTATTCTTTATTTGTTCTCTTATTCCTACCTAAGGACTGGACACAAGCAGTGTCCTTTTTTAAACAAAGAATAGGTTTCTCACCAGGAGAGTAATGGCTTTTGGAAAAGAGTGTAATTCCAGCTTTCCTCAATGTCCACAGCTTCAACTAGAAGGGACACAATATGGCAGAGGGCTGGGGGAGGGCAGCTTGAACAACTCTCTTCTGAAGTGTGAAAACTACTCTGCAAACAGATGCTCTTACATTGGCTAACTGGGTATTAGTGTGGGTTTATCCTGAAGAGCAGCATTTGATGAACTGTCACAGCTGGGAAGTAACAGAAAGGGCTGCCCCACACGGAATGGCAAAGCCAGCATGCAGTTTGTGTTACATACGTCCACTCCGAATCTCTTCATTCTTCTCTCATGCAGGCGAGGAACGAGCTGCAGCAACGGATGCACGACAGACGACTGAGGGGACATGAACACACAGGCAGTGAGCACATGGCTTCTCAGCACTAGCCAGCAAGATGGCTTCCTATTTGTTTGTTTGTTTTTTAATCGATTAAACTTGTCCCAGACAAAACAGAACATTAAAGATGTCACCTAAAACAGCTCTTTGGAAGCAATTCAAAGAACCGTGGAGAATAAACCAAGAGGTGGGATAAAATTTGGTAGCTCTGCACCGGGATTTTTGTCATCATACTGAAGAAGCACTTTCCTAAGGGCTGTGGCTCTTTTGTCAACTGTCAGCCAGTAAAGCTTCTCACTGCCTCTTTGAGAGGCAAAAGGCAGTCTGTCTGCTTCTAGACTTATTCAAAATAATCTGGGCCAGGTGAAACCCACACTGTGAGTAGCAGTTTTCGGCTATAAACATGTTGATCCAGAAGATTATACTATACACACATCTAATAACCTCCTTTATAAATTATATACTTAAAACAGAAACGTAGGGAGCAAGACAACAATATGTGAAAATGACAATGTGTTCTTGATAGTGAAAACTGTGACTAAGACGCATTTTCCCAAAATGTAAAGTTGCCAAGCCAAAGAAAATGAAAGCACACTTGAGACATGTAGCTACCTACCTGATATTGCTGCATTTTTAAAAAAGGTGTGGGTCACACTGAGACTTCTCATTAATGTTAAATTCATTTAGCACATGGGTTATGTTGAGCCCTGTATGACAGTTATCTGTTAACTAGTTCAATTTCTACTTGGTATAAAGCCAGTATAATCTTTCATCTCCTCATACATACGCATATTCCATGTGATAAATATTTCAAACTGAGTGAATACAGTTACCTTTCCACAGGTATGTATCGGTTTAAAATACGCTATGTTCCTCATTCCCTAAATGGGTTCATGAATGTGAATCACAAGCGTAGAAACAATATTATAGTCAAATAATTTCTATGTATTCTAGATTGAAACACCAAGTAGGTGGGTTAGCATTTTTAAAACCCATGTATACAAAAAGAAAACTACCACTAATACTACATGATTTTAAAGTCAACTGAATTCAAGTTCCTGGTTTTTGGCTAACCTTAGAGAATACATTCTCACATTAAATGTCTAATTACTAATAAGAAGATCTTAGGAATAGAAGAGGATATTTTAAATTATATATCATTACATTTTTGACAATCATCCTTGAAAATAAATAAAAAAAATGCCCTTGGATCACATGATTTTTTTCTTTGCAACAATTGCAATTAGAAACAATATATTTTACTTACTTCTTTGCTTTTTATTTTCTTGGCCTTTACAATGTGTTTCACAGTAGCAGGGATTTCTTTTTCTTTTCTTTCTTTCTTTTTTTTTTTTTTTTTTT